ATTCAATTTCATCTTTTCGACAATTTCTCCCTTTTAAACCATTTCCAGATTATCCTGTTCCATTCAATTTCATCTTTTCGACAATTTCTCCCTTTTAAACCATTTCCAGATTATCCTGTTCCATTCAATTTCATCTTTTCGACAATTTCTCCCTTTTAAACCATTTCCAGATTATCCTGTTCCATTCAATTTCATCTTTTCGACAATTTCTCCCTTTTAAACCATTTCCAGATTATCCTGTTCCATTCAATTTCATCTTTTCGACAATTTCTCCCTTTTAAACCATTTCCAGATTATCCTGTTCCATTCAATTTCATCTTTTCGACAATTTCTCCCTTTTAAACCATTTCCAGATTATCCTGTTCCATTCAATTTCATCTTTTCGACAATTTCTCCCTTTTAAACCATTTCCAGATTATCCTGTTCCATTCAATTTCATCTTTTCGACAATTTCTCCCTTTTAAACCATTTCCAGATTATCCTGTTCCATTCAATTTCATCTTTTCGACAATTTCTCCCTTTTAAACCATTTCCAGATTATCCTGTTCCATTCAATTTCATCTTTTCGACAATTTCTCCCTTTTAAACCATTTCCAGATTATCCTGTTCCATTCAATTTCATCTTTTCGACAATTTCTCCCTTTTAAACCATTTCCAGATTATCCTGTTCCATTCAATTTCATCTTTTCGACAATTTCTCCCTTTTAAACCATTTCCAGATTATCCTGTTCCATTCAATTTCATCTTTTCGACAATTTCTCCCTTTTAAACCATTTCCAGATTATCCTGTTCCATTCAATTTCATCTTTTCGACAATTTCTCCCTTTTAAACCATTTCCAGATTATCCTGTTCCATTCAATTTCATCTTTTCGACAATTTCTCCCTTTTAAACCATTTCCAGATTATCCTGTTCCATTCAATTTCATCTTTTCGACAATTTCTCCCTTTTAAACCATTTCCAGATTATCCTGTTCCATTCAATTTCATCTTTTCGACAATTTCTCCCTTTTAAACCATTTCCAGATTATCCTGTTCCATTCAATTTCATCTTTTCGACAATTTCTCCCTTTTAAACCATTTCCAGATTATCCTGTTCCATTCAATTTCATCTTTTCGACAATTTCTCCCTTTTAAACCATTTCCAGATTATCCTGTTCCATTCAATTTCATCTTTTCGACAATTTCTCCCTTTTAAACCATTTCCAGATTATCCTGTTCCATTCAATTTCATCTTTTCGACAATTTCTCCCTTTTAAACCATTTCCAGATTATCCTGTTCCATTCAATTTCATCTTTTCGACAATTTCTCCCTTTTAAACCATTTCCAGATTATCCTGTTCCATTCAATTTCATCTTTTCGACAATTTCTCCCTTTTAAACCATTTCCAGATTATCCTGTTCCATTCAATTTCATCTTTTCGACAATTTCTCCCTTTTAAACCATTTCCAGATTATCCTGTTCCATTCAATTTCATCTTTTCGACAATTTCTCCCTTTTAAACCATTTCCAGATTATCCTGTTCCATTCAATTTCATCTTTTCGACAATTTCTCCCTTTTAAACCATTTCCAGATTATCCTGTTCCATTCAATTTCATCTTTTCGACAATTTCTCCCTTTTAAACCATTTCCAGATTATCCTGTTCCATTCAATTTCATCTTTTCGACAATTTCTCCCTTTTAAACCATTTCCAGATTATCCTGTTCCATTCAATTTCATCTTTTCGACAATTTCTCCCTTTTAAACCATTTCCAGATTATCCTGTTCCATTCAATTTCATCTTTTCGACAATTTCTCCCTTTTAAACCATTTCCAGATTATCCTGTTCCATTCAATTTCATCTTTTCGACAATTTCTCCCTTTTAAACCATTTCCAGATTATCCTGTTCCATTCAATTTCATCTTTTCGACAATTTCTCCCTTTTAAACCATTTCCAGATTATCCTGTTCCATTCAATTTCATCTTTTCGACAATTTCTCCCTTTTAAACCATTTCCAGATTATCCTGTTCCATTCAATTTCATCTTTTCGACAATTTCTCCCTTTTAAACCATTTCCAGATTATCCTGTTCCATTCAATTTCATCTTTTCGACAATTTCTCCCTTTTAAACCATTTCCAGATTATCCTGTTCCATTCAATTTCATCTTTTCGACAATTTCTCCCTTTTAAACCATTTCCAGATTATCCTGTTCCATTCAATTTCATCTTTTCGACAATTTCTCCCTTTTAAACCATTTCCAGATTATCCTGTTCCATTCAATTTCATCTTTTCGACAATTTCTCCCTTTTAAACCATTTCCAGATTATCCTGTTCCATTCAATTTCATCTTTTCGACAATTTCTCCCTTTTAAACCATTTCCAGATTATCCTGTTCCATTCAATTTCATCTTTTCGACAATTTCTCCCTTTTAAACCATTTCCAGATTATCCTGTTCCATTCAATTTCATCTTTTCGACAATTTCTCCCTTTTAAACCATTTCCAGATTATCCTGTTCCATTCAATTTCATCTTTTCGACAATTTCTCCCTTTTAAACCATTTCCAGATTATCCTGTTCCATTCAATTTCATCTTTTCGACAATTTCTCCCTTTTAAACCATTTCCAGATTATCCTGTTCCATTCAATTTCATCTTTTCGACAATTTCTCCCTTTTAAACCATTTCCAGATTATCCTGTTCCATTCAATTTCATCTTTTCGACAATTTCTCCCTTTTAAACCATTTCCAGATTATCCTGTTCCATTCAATTTCATCTTTTCGACAATTTCTCCCTTTTAAACCATTTCCAGATTATCCTGTTCCATTCAATTTCATCTTTTCGACAATTTCTCCCTTTTAAACCATTTCCAGATTATCCTGTTCCATTCAATTTCATCTTTTCGACAATTTCTCCCTTTTAAACCATTTCCAGATTATCCTGTTCCATTCAATTTCATCTTTTCGACAATTTCTCCCTTTTAAACCATTTCCAGATTATCCTGTTCCATTCAATTTCATCTTTTCGACAATTTCTCCCTTTTAAACCATTTCCAGATTATCCTGTTCCATTCAATTTCATCTTTTCGACAATTTCTCCCTTTTAAACCATTTCCAGATTATCCTGTTCCATTCAATTTCATCTTTTCGACAATTTCTCCCTTTTAAACCATTTCCAGATTATCCTGTTCCATTCAATTTCATCTTTTCGACAATTTCTCCCTTTTAAACCATTTCCAGATTATCCTGTTCCATTCAATTTCATCTTTTCGACAATTTCTCCCTTTTAAACCATTTCCAGATTATCCTGTTCCATTCAATTTCATCTTTTCGACAATTTCTCCCTTTTAAACCATTTCCAGATTATCCTGTTCCATTCAATTTCATCTTTTCGACAATTTCTCCCTTTTAAACCATTTCCAGATTATCCTGTTCCATTCAATTTCATCTTTTCGACAATTTCTCCCTTTTAAACCATTTCCAGATTATCCTGTTCCATTCAATTTCATCTTTTCGACAATTTCTCCCTTTTAAACCATTTCCAGATTATCCTGTTCCATTCAATTTCATCTTTTCGACAATTTCTCCCTTTTAAACCATTTCCAGATTATCCTGTTCCATTCAATTTCATCTTTTCGACAATTTCTCCCTTTTAAACCATTTCCAGATTATCCTGTTCCATTCAATTTCATCTTTTCGACAATTTCTCCCTTTTAAACCATTTCCAGATTATCCTGTTCCATTCAATTTCATCTTTTCGACAATTTCTCCCTTTTAAACCATTTCCAGATTATCCTGTTCCATTCAATTTCATCTTTTCGACAATTTCTCCCTTTTAAACCATTTCCAGATTATCCTGTTCCATTCAATTTCATCTTTTCGACAATTTCTCCCTTTTAAACCATTTCCAGATTATCCTGTTCCATTCAATTTCATCTTTTCGACAATTTCTCCCTTTTAAACCATTTCCAGATTATCCTGTTCCATTCAATTTCATCTTTTCGACAATTTCTCCCTTTTAAACCATTTCCAGATTATCCTGTTCCATTCAATTTCATCTTTTCGACAATTTCTCCCTTTTAAACCATTTCCAGATTATCCTGTTCCATTCAATTTCATCTTTTCGACAATTTCTCCCTTTTAAACCATTTCCAGATTATCCTGTTCCATTCAATTTCATCTTTTCGACAATTTCTCCCTTTTAAACCATTTCCAGATTATCCTGTTCCATTCAATTTCATCTTTTCGACAATTTCTCCCTTTTAAACCATTTCCAGATTATCCTGTTCCATTCAATTTCATCTTTTCGACAATTTCTCCCTTTTAAACCATTTCCAGATTATCCTGTTCCATTCAATTTCATCTTTTCGACAATTTCTCCCTTTTAAACCATTTCCAGATTATCCTGTTCCATTCAATTTCATTTTTTTCCCCGTCTACTGCTTAAAACAATAAAGTCGGGGTTAATCTTCGGGTGCGATCATACCAGCACTAATGCACCGGATCCCATCAGAACTCCGCAGTTAAGCGTGCTTGGGCGAGAGTAGTACTAGGATGGGTGACCCCCTGGGAAGTCCTCGTGTTGCACCCCTTTACTGCTTAAAACAATAAAGTCGCTGTTAATCTTCGGGTGCGATCATACCAGCACTAATGCACCGGATCCCATCAGAACTCCGCAGTTAAGCGTGCTTGGGCGAGAGTAGTACTAGGATGGGTGACCCCCTGGGAAGTCCTCGTGTTGCACCCCTTTTGTCCCTTTTTCCACCACCCCCCCCCCCCCTTTTTTTCCCCCCCCCCCCCCCCCCTCCCTTTTATCTTTTCTTTTCTTTTCTTTTCTTTCTAGAAAAGTATTTTTTTATTATCTCATACATATCAGGGGAAAAAAAAATTTATCTTATAGTGGAACTATTCTTGTGTTATCTGTATTAGTTCACTGTTTGAGAACAAATGTGCCTCGAGAGGGTCTGCCTGGACATTTATGGACTCGAGTTGGAGAGCCGGTACTAAAAGATTTGTGATAATGGCTAAAGTTTACTTTGAGAATTTGGTGCTTGCATTCCCAACGCCAGGCTCGGTTTCCCTCTGAATTCTTCTAATAGAAAGAAGAAAGTTAAAGATTCATCCTCAACGAGCACATTTTTCTCATGATTTGAGCTAGCAGGGTGTATAGGACACCACTTACATTATAAATGACCACAATTTCTCTCTCTTTATACGTTTTCATATGCTGGTTATGTAGATCGTTGTTCATAAGAGTAGTCCAAGAGGGACGCATTTTCGACGTGCTGGACCCCGACAAAAGGTACTTATTTTACATGCCTTATATACGATATGTGACATCAAGTGCTCAACATTGACACATGCTCTTCCATTGGTTTTGCAGGTGTATTTTGAGTCGGATGAAGTCCACGCTTGCATTGTGACATGTGGGGGATTATGTCCTGGTCTCAACACAGTGATTAGGGAAATAGTATGTGGCCTCTACCATATGTATGGTGTTAAGAAAGTCCTTGGAATAAATGTAAGTGGCTTCTTCCTTACAAACTCCAATCTCATGTCTTCCACGAAGTTTATTTCCAGCTTATCTGTGGGCTTCGTTTGATCTGGAGTTGAGTCAATAGAGATAATTATAGAATGGTTGCCATTTTAGAAGTATTTTTATTGTTTTTGAGAGCTAGAGCAAAGGAATAAATAAATGATTTTTTTTGTTAACTGAATAATACATCGTTTTTATGTTTTCTCCCTCTTGATATATACTTCCTGTTAAGAATTGCATTTATTAATTAGTTGCATAGTTTGTGGGAATCAATGCAGAAAGGCAACTGCTAATCAAATACCATCTACAATTGTTCGCTCCAACTGATACTTTTGGTACTCGTATAACATTATATTATTAATATTGAACCAGCAGTCCCCTAAGCGACCATGTCAAAATATATAGAAGCTGTATTCCAACAAGAAAATCTTGATGCTTTTCCTTGGGTTGGAGAGCATGACTGTAAGACTATTGAAACTTTAATTTATGTCAATTGCAAGTTATTCACTTTTGTTAATTTCATATCATCTTAGATTAATTTTTCAATATCGTATTTTGAGTCAAAGAATTAAGGATAGGTTCACCTAAGTTGTCTTTCTGACTAAGAGATACACCATTCTGTTTCTACTGCATAATTTGGTGGCATGAGTAATAAATGAAGCTCTTGGATCTGCAGGGAGGATACAGGGGTTTCTATTCTCGAAACACAATCACTTTAACACCCAAAGTTGTTAATGATATCCATAAACGTGGTGGAACAGTTCTTGGGACATCACGAGGGGGCCATAATACTAAAAAGATAGTTGATAGCATTCAGGACCGTGGTATTAATCAGGTATATAAAAATCAATGTACTATTGCTATTTGGGATGACCTAAATAAGTGCACTTTTTGTCTTTTTATGGAAAGATGTGCAGAAAAGTAGAGAGGTGATGTGATAGAAAAAAGATAAAAAGATAAAAAGATGGATTATTTTGATATTGCCAAACTTGGCCTTAAAATGACCAAGTCATTGGTCAACATCTTCTTATACACAATTTTATCACCTAAACAAATCTTTACTATTCATTAATATTGAATTTATGGCTTTATATATCTCAGGTTTACATTATTGGAGGAGATGGAACTCAGAAAGGGGCATCTGCGATTTATGAGGTATATTTGGTCAAAGGATTTTGTTATTTATTACCTGGCATTTGTCGCATATGATTCAATCAGTTTCTTGAGTTTTGCATTCTTTGGAATATTAACTCTCATATTTTAGTAGTTGGAAACTGTAAAGTTAATTGCCATCTATGTAAAATTTTACAACATTCTTATTCTCTATCATGCAGGAAATTAGAAGGCGCGGTCTCAAAGTTGCAGTAGCTGGAGTCCCTAAAACTATTGACAATGACATTCCGGTACTTCTTTTGCCAGCCATTAAACATGCTCGATTATTATTGAGTTCAATTTCACTCTGCTTATTTCAGAACTTCAAATTATTTTTCAAATTTGTTTGCTCACACTGTATTTAATTACTACAGGTCATTGACAAGTCCTTTGGCTTTGACACTGCTGTTGAGGAGGCTCAACGTGCCATAAATGCAGCACATGTTGAATCTGAAAGTAATGAGAATTGCATTGGTCTTGTGAAATTAATGGGTCGCGACAGTGGTAAGTTTCACACCAAATGCATGATACTTCCTCTCTTCATTTAGTTGTCTAGCTTCTTTTAAGTAGTTTTAATGTCTGCACTCATCTGCACATCATTCCTCAACAAATATATCTATCTATATCTATATCTATATCTATACTATATATAAAGCAAAGGCTGGAGTTGGTGTCCTGAAGCCTTTGCTTCTCTTTATGTCAAGTGGATTTCTCATTTCTCTATTTTAAACAAAAAATTAGACCAAGAAGAGGGTAGGACTCGAACCTAAGACTTCGGGTTTGATAAAGAAGACTCTTACCACTTGAGTGGCACACAATATGTAGTGAATTTTTTATTTTGTTTTTATTTATTTGAATTGCACACTCATCGCATGTGCCATCCGCTAGTATATATATATTTTAGAATTCATAAAAATGCTTAACATGGCTATGTAATTTGCACTGAGAAATTGCTGCATGGTTGGGAAAAATCTCTTGGAGCTATTTCCTCAATAACTTTATGCTAATAGTGATTTTTTTTTTCTTCTTTTGTCTCAATGGTTTTTGTAGTATTTGAATTGGACTTGACGTTGCAGGGTTTATTGCAATGCATGCTACTATTGCGAGCCGAGATGTGGACTGTTGCTTGATTCCAGAGTCACCCTTTTATCTTGAAGGAGCAGGAGGACTTTTTGAATATATAGAGAAGAGACTCAAGGAAAATGGGCACATGGTTATTGTCATAGCCGAAGGTGCAGGACAGGAGCTTCTTTCTGAAAGTTTGCGTTCTAGTCATCAGCAAGATGCTTCCGGAAACAAGCTTCACCAAGATGTTGGGCTTTGGATATCTCAGAGTATCAAGGTTTGTTTCCTGTTCCTAATTATTTTGTGTATTCATGCGCTTGAAAATGTTGATGCATGCAGATTTTGTTAGAAACATGGGCTGTATTTGCCAGAGAATTAGGAGTTCCTATCGTAATGCATGACCATTTAACAGGGGGATTCACTGCAAATACTAGTGTACTATGCACACACCCCCACATATGCTGTTCTGTGTGTGTGTGTTTCAAACTAAATTTCTAAAATTTTACCTGTATGTGAATGAATATCTTTGTTTGCAGGCATACTGTTTTGAACTTCCTCTTCCTTTATGTAGTGTTTGGTTCATTAGAATGAAATAAAATGGAATGGAATGGTCATTCCTTAGCCTCCCTATTTAATGACTATTTCCTTACAATAGTAAATGATGATTTCATTTGTAATACATTTTCCATCATTTTTTTAGCAAACCAAATGTGAGAATGGACATTGTGATGAAATGATCATATTCTATTCCAGTGAACCAAACACTACCTTTTCAACTGAAAATAGTTAGAAAATGTTTAGAATTCAAACAAAACGACATAATACATAGATTCAAGATATTCTAGTTTAAATTTCCTTTTCCTTTATTTTCCTCAAGATTCTCGGTAACCAAATGGAGGGGAAGAGAGGAGATCCGAAGGAAATACCTTGCGAAGAACAGAAGCAGCAGCGAGGCAGGCACGTTTCATGGCGGACCTGAGAGCTTTCTCGTTCGACGGCGCGTGAAATCCCGCGCCGACGTGCACCGCCACGAAGAACCTAGGGTTCCGATCAGGGACATCCTCCTCCTCCGCCATGGAATTTTGGTGAGGAGCTTTTTTCAAGAGGCGTGGAGGGCTGAATTCTGATTTAAATACCACCAGGCGCTGAAGGTTGTGAAAGAGAGCGTTTTAGTAGTGTGTTGTTAGCAAAAAGAAAAAGGACGCTTACGCGGAAGTTAGTGGACTTATTATTACAAGTTTTATCGGAAAAATTTATAATAAAAAATTTACTAATTATAAGTTTTAGCGATAATTTATAAAAATTATTACAAAAAAAAATCAGTAACTGTCAATTTTTAACGATATATATAAAAAATTGTCATAAAAAAATTATTTTTAGTAACAATTTTATCAATGCTTATTTTCAATAACACTGGATGGGAATTAAATACCTATGGATAATTTATCCAAAAGAAACATATTACTGTTGTGGGACCCACCACAGGCCGATTATCCAAACTTTTCATTTTACTTTTACAATTTCTTTGTGTATATTCATTAATAAAAAAAAATTAAATTAATTCGATAATTATAACATGTTCAATATATAACACATTTGTCTTAAAAATCAATAGATGATTTATATTTAAAATTACAACTACCATTTATTTTTTTTAATCATAAATGCAATAAATTATGATGGACTTCATTGGACAAACAACACTCTCTAATCTAAATCTTATACCAAATAAAAACCCAACAACTCAAAATAAGTACAAACAACCGCCCAAATCCACCCGAGTTGCACCCCTATAATTTTGTCCATACCTAGTGTGGTGCTTACTACTATTGTGAGAGGAGGTGATTCATGCAATCAATATATTTTATTTATTTTTATTTATTTATTTGTGTCTTTTCAATTGAAAAAATCGATTACTTTTATTTTGTATAAAATGCAATCAATGCAGGTTTGGTGGCTTAATCCGAGATGAGAAGGGTATTTGGCTGTGGATTTTTCGACAAGCAAGATCTAAGAAACAAATGTCACTAATTGTCAATTTTCAGCAACAGTTTGAAAATTTTGTCACAAAAATACCATTAATTATAAGTTTTAGCAACAGTTTTAAAAAATCGTCACAAAAAAAGGTCACTAATTTTTAACTTTTAGGGACAGTTTGAAAAATTTATCAAAGAAAAATGTCACTAATTGTAAGTTTCAAGGACAATTTAAAAAACCGTGACAAAAAAATCACTTCACATTGCATTGAGGGGTTATCACAATAATCAATGTAGTACCTTTCGAAGTTCCTGCATGAACTTCAGCATATACAGAGTAACAACCTGAAATTGGAATAGCAAATGCAAATATTAAATAAAAGGGAATTTCACCAAAGCCACTAAAATTTCTGTATTGATCCAAGACAGCCTAAACAAATCAGATAAATATGGCAAGTTCCATATGATCATAACCACTTGGGTCTTGCTAAATTGGAAACTTAACCATCTTTAGAAGATACAAAAAGACAGGGATACGAGCATTTTATAATTTTTTGGCATAAAATTAGGTATCAAAACCATGAACTTATATAATCTTATGATGATTGACAAGCCTGATCACTATTAATAGGTCGTCAGCTACATGGATCTATGTTTCCAATAAATAAGCTTCCACATTGAAGCTAGTCAAAAAGAAACCAATAGGTACTTTCTTTTCTTTTCTTTTTTCATAAACAGGGAATAAGGGTAGGGGTAACTGCAATACACGATGATAACACTTGAATTCAGACATCGGATAAGGGAGCACCTCATTCACTAAGACAACCCTTGATCTCCAAGAAACCAACAGGTAAAAAAGCCACTTTTATGTATCTTTAGACTGTGTTCGAATCATAGATTTAGACAGAGATTTGGAAATAGAAAGGAACAAGCGAGAGAAATCAAGGGGAAAAAAAAACTTATATTTCATTTACATTTCCCTCTCCTTTTCCTTTCCTACTTATATTTCATTCACATTTCACTCACATTTTCCTTTCTCTTTTCAAATCACAATCCAAAGACAGCCTTACAGATTATAAGAAATATCACTGTATAACAAAAAAACCAAAATATAAAATAAAATAAAATTTCGGGTACAAAATTTATAATGTGCTAATATGAAACAAGAAGAATAGGAGAAGGAAATTGGCACCTTTGGAGGAGCGGTAAGAGTGCCATCAACATCAAACAGAGCAATTAATCTAGGCTTCCTTGTTGCCATTTCAATATATAAAATTTTTTGCCATCAAAACAACAAGCTTGAAAAGCGTCAATTCAAATATTTATAATTAAAAAAATAAAAAGAAAAATCCGGCAAATTATGCTTCTAAGAGAAATATAGACAGTGAGAGAGTATGCATTACTCGCATCTCATGAAATTCCACAAATTCTATGAGTCGACTCAGTTAAAGTCGAAACACCCATTTGTTTCTGAGGAAAATCATACAAACAAAAATCTTTCCTGAGAAAAAAATTACTCCTATAGATTTCAAGCTAAGAACTCATGGATTGAATTGCAATTCCAAATTGACATAAGGAAATAAAACTAGATAAAATACAAACAATGAAGAACCAATGAACAAATGCGATTTACCTGGGGAAAATTGGGTGAAGAGAAGGAAGAGAATAATTATAAAAAAAAAAATTAATCATAACCCAAAAAAAAAAAATTTCTGACATAATTAAAAAGACTTATGATGAAGGGTGCGAATTATAGACTTCTTTGGAGTGGGTATGCCTTTTTTTATTTTTGATTTTTGATTTTTTTTTTTTTTTTTTTGATTTTATTATTTTAGTTAGGGTTAAAAGTTCATTTCAATTTGGTTTTTTGACTTCTTTTTTTAAAATTTTTATAAGAGAAAATGTGAAATAATTATGATTTGAATATGACAATTTATCTTATTGACTTTTTTAACTTATTTTATATTTTTGTAATTAAATTAGCCCACTACCTTTAAAAAAATTTTAAAAAAAAAATTTATGCCAAAGGAGGGCTAGAATTCACCATGTAATTATATGCTTATGCTGTTCCACTTGGGTGTGACCTGTGGATCTGATGATCTAGGTCTAATACAAAATTAGTGATTTTGGTAACTATTTTTTAAAAAATAAATCAATAACACATCAATGTATGAATCAAGCAAAAGAAATTTGGAAAAATTGTAATTTTTAAAAAAAAAAAATAAATTAGTGGTAAATTTTATTTATTTTAAATAATTAAAGCTATAATTCTTTTTCTTTTCTTTTTTTATGAATTTGTAAATATTTGTGAAGACAATACTAGTATCACATTTTTTTTTCCATTTTTTTTTAAAATCTTTAGTAACTTTTGTTTTTTTTAAATTTGTGTCAAAATTTTTTACTTTTCCAATTGTCTAGTGTAGAACAATTTTAAAAAATAAAAAAAATCCAAAAAAATAAAATAAAAGAAGAAGTCAACTATTTTTTACTTTTTCCTTTTAGCTGTTTGTAATGCTCTATCCCTCAATTTTTTCCCCACCCTCCCCTAATGCCATGGCGAATAATACTACCAAATCAACTCTCTTCAAACTCTTATCTCTCATTTCAAAATTGTTTGACACATCATTAGGAAGAGTTTGCAAGAGGAAAATTAGGGAGATGTAGCATGCTCATTTTTTGGAGGCTTCTCTAGTAAAAATTTATTTTTTTTTTGAAAAAAGATATGTCACTAAATACAATAAAAAAAAAAGTTACTAAAAAATTTAATTATAAATAACAAAAGACGGAAGATGCAAAGTGCATCATAGCAAAATTAGACAATCCCAATTAGGTTGGCACTATCTAACTAGCACAATCATATGTTAGCACTAAACCAAGTTGATAAGACAATAACCAGCCAAAACAAAAACATAGGATGTAACACCCCAAAATAATTTACATAAGAAGGGTTCATATTTATCTATCAACAAGATCTTAATCCAAAAGTAGTAACTTCCGTAACATATATATATATATATATATATTGTAGCATTTGTATCCTTTTAAAACTTTTGGGAAGTATATTTAAATCCTTTATTTTATTTTGAGGATCTTTGGTGTTATTGTATCTTGGTTTTGGATGAGTGAAAATCGATTTAAACTTAATGGGATTACTTGTTCACGCTTGTTTATGTTGAAAAGTTGTTTCGAAACTTAAAGATCTTGTTCTGGGGTCGACACCGGTCTTAGTGGTGTCGACACCTTCCTTTTGTTGTTGGCCACAAGGGTTGACACCGGTCTAGGAAGGGTCGATCCTTGTCCAGAAATTGCTTGCTGAAATTTGGTGTCGACACCAGATTTGGAAGGGTCGACACCTGTATTGCAAAGGTCGACACCTGCGACTTTTTTTCCAGATTTCAATCCGATTTGGGCTCTACTTTTTGGGGATTTTGACTTGATCTTTTGGGTTAACTTTGGGACTTCATTTTACTTTGACCTAGCACTATAAATAGGTCCCGCACTTAACCTTTTCTTTACTTTTTCTTCTCGTTTTCCCTCTCCAAGCCGTAAGTTACTCTCTCCCTCTCCAAAATCACTTTTTGCTCAAAGATCTTTAGATCTACTCACTTGGAAGCATCTCCTTGCCTTGCTCCTTTGAGAAAGGTTGTAGATCTTGTCAAGGGCTTTCTATTGATCCAAGTAGTTCGTGGTTTCGTCGCCTGTGATTTTTGGGTTGTTTTCTCTT